CCAAAACGGCCATTACGACACTCAAACATAAAAGAGACTCGATATATCAAGCGGAAATAAAGATACAAAGCCTCCATATGAGACTTTATTTCTTTTAGAACAAATCAAACCTTACAACCATAACGAAACGCATCCAAAATAAACCAATTGTAAAACCATTACATTTGATCAGGATTTTAAAAACGTTTAACAACCCTTTGAAGTACCTACCGTACTAAAACCACAACATAACTGATAGCCCGATCTTCTCCGTTAACCCGTTCAAAACCTTGTCACCGGCTCCATACATTCTCTCAGGCTTCCGTACCTCGTTCATTACCTATACATGAGAATACAAGAAAATAGAAGTCTCGTAAGCAATATGCTTAGTAAATCACCATTTCATCCACTAAAAACAATTAGAGAATCTTAGCTAGCCATAATTAGATACACGAGCTTGAATACTCCATACACATAGCATATTCACACACATATTCATATCATGTAAAACACAACATCATGTAACGAAATCTAAAAGATTTCCTCATTCATCATGCTTTCTTCTTATCTTGTTACTTGACTTGATGGGCCCGTAGCTCGTGTCCTGACCCCTTGCTAATGACCTTGGGTAGCTAGCCCGCATCCATCAGAAGTAACCCCGAGACTCCCCGCGGAAGGAGATCCCGCTCCGTTCAGCTCAAGTGATTACTTGGGGGAACGACTACCTTATAACATTTTTATCAGTCACTTGATATCATTACCATTACAACTTTCATTCATTGTTGGAGTCCATATAAATCCAACCTAACATTAACCGTAAAACTTGGATACATTACATTGATAACTCAACAAGTTCTCCATCAACATCACCTATAAATATATACACATAACAGAGCATTCACATAATCTCATACCATACAAATTCAAACATTCAAGCAAAACCTATCCAATTCATAGGAAGCTAGACTTCCATATTTCATTTCAAACTATCATGTATAGGTGGTGATGACTTACCTGGTTCATGCGGAGTATTTGCCCTTGTGTGTGCGTGTACGGTGTCCATGAGCAACGGTTCTTCGATGAACAACTATAATTATAAATACACAAGCTTATACTTGATCAAACTTAAATTCATGTCTTTAGAAAATCCTTAGACTTAAGGTGAGGAAAAGTTCTCAAATCAGCCCCTACAAGTTAGAAAACTCCCCCTTTTCCTACAACAAATCGGGCATAGATTCGGGGTGGCTAGATAACTAAGAATCCGATTGAATTTCATGAATTAAGACTCATCATCTATCAACTCCCTTTCATAATATCAAGTTCTCCATGTATCTAATTAGAATCATCCACTAATCATTAAAATACTTCTCAGATTCTTTCATTAAACTGGGTATAATTTTGGGGTACCTAAATACTTAAATTTCACAAAAGTTTTTAATCAAGGATGAAGAACAACTCTATATCAACCTTAATATTAAGAAAACCAATTAATTTCCCTAGAATCAACCCTAAATCAACAAACCTAGCAAAATCCACAACCAAGAACTATAGATATAAATATAGAAGAAATACTTTACGTAAAGTATAAAATCTTACCAAGTGATGATTCTTGATGAATAATAGACTTAGTTTGAGCTTGAATCAGTCTAGGTAGGGTTTGTAAATGAGTTTGTAGAGATGGGGTCGAGCTGGGCTTCGTTTTGGGAAAAAAGGGATTTTCCCGTTTAAATACGCCGTACACCGACCTGGGAAAAAATCGCCCCGTCCGGCGCCGGTTGTGCTGTGTTTTTGACGCCCCAAAGCTTCTGTTTTGGACCGGCGCCGGTCCGGGTCCAACCGGCGCCGGTTTGAGGCCAATCGGGTGCCGAAAACGTCATTTTCGCCCTAAACCGACCCCGATTGTTACTGTTCGCATCCTAGACCCCCGATGACATTTTAAACTATATTTTAAACACTCGAATACTATCTAACATGAAAAATAACTTGATATACCATTACATTCAAAAATACGAATGATTATTACAGTGTAGTTTCATTGCTCATCGGATACCGTTGCCTGTCACGTTCAAATATAATACAAACATGTAAGTTCAAATATCATTATCATAAAGTGCATACTCACATGCTATCCCTACACTTCACACATATAGCACTCAAACATAAGTTAAAACATGATCATATATAACATTAATTAATGCATAAGAAGTAGAAAAAGTACGGGCGTTACAAAATGTTATACCCTTCCATCCCTTAGGTTATCTGACATTCTCGGGGATGATATGATTTTCTTCCGAAAATACCCTCAATTAATTATCTCTTTTCATTTAATTTCTCTATGCATTCAACTTTTATCAAATTTGATTTTTTTTGATTCTATAAAACTTTTAATGTAGTTTCTGAATATGTAAGTTTTATTTACTATAAAAATCTTATTATTGACAGGGATAAGTTAATTTTAGAGGGTTTTCTTAAATAGTACTGAAATATAAGTTATGGACAAAAAAATTACTACGGTTAATATGCATAGTCACTATGATGTACTAATGCGTACTCAATTTTATAGTCAGTCGAATACCGAAGATTGTGTGACAACCTTTTAAGTGGGACAGATGGAATATGTTTATTTAATTATATTCAAATGTCTATTCTTGTTACTTTCCTAATTCTTTTTTCCTTAACATTTAAATTTTTTAAGGTATTTATGTTATAAGACTTGTAGATTATTTAAGTTTTTGATGAGTGGATTTCAAAATTTAATGGCAAAATTGATCATTTTTTTTAATTTGAAAACAAGTTTTACGAATAACTTGAACATTTTATAAATTTAATTTTTTGAAATGGTAGTAAGTATATTTAGATTGCTATTTGCACAGAGTTTTTTTCATCTCTGTATTGGATCTACAACATTTTACAATTAAACCTACTTAAAAACAATTCATTTAGATTTGATTTTATTTATTATTAAGATATTTCATTTTTTTGTTTAATTTTTAATTACTTTAGATGTAGGTTGTAATAGATTTATTCTATTAAGAGAAGATATTTAAAGGGCATTGAAGTAATACATCATATCTGTAATATAAAATATCTTTCAACCAAATAAATTAATGTCACATTCCCGTAATTTTAACCAAAACACAAATGGGAATAAATTGACTACATTCCCATCAATCTAACATACCCATCAATCTGACATTCTCACGGTAATATGACATTCTTTGAACCAAACAAACCCTTAAGGCCTACCCCTAGTATATCTTAAAATTCATACCTTCCTACCTTAAAACATCTCTTAATATTACTTAAGACATAACATTTCACAATCCAACTCTAGGATCAATTCTTGCAATATTTCACTTTAATGCCCGACTAGTATATTAATACTAATCGGACTAATTCCAACAATCCAAGTTCTCCGTTCATAGTCATATAGATAATTCCAAACCGATTTTCCATTGAAAGTATAATTTATATCAATATACAAAATATCACTTTTAATCACTCATATGTTCTTATATGAAGTAAAAAGTATCATCGTGAATTAAAATATCACTTTTAATCACTTATGTACATCTAGTAGTTTCATTATTAACAATTTAATAAATTATCATTGTATATAACAATGCGAAATATGTAAATGTTTTATTAAAAATAATTTATAGTCTTTTGTACTTGAATTACAAATATAATCATTTTGTTTTTATAATATTTACTTGTGCATATTTATTTTACATTATACTCATTTTAGTATAACACAAAACTCATATTAACAATAACACACAATATTTAATAAAATAATAAATATTCATCTTAAAATAAAAAATAGAAAAACAAACATTAATAACTAAAATATTTTATAATTGAAGAAAATTAAAGTATAAAATTATTAAAGAAAAAAGAAATAAAAACAAAGAAAGAAACCAGTAAAAGCAAGGAAAGAAGACAAGATAAGAAAAGACAAGCAAAATCGTAAAAGTGACGAGGAGGGAAAGGAACGAAACAAAGAAAAGAAAAAAATAAACAAAAGAGAAAAGGTTAAGGGTATGTTTGACGCAACTATGTGAAAAGATACTTTTATGAGCTTTTTAGTAACTGTTAATTTTTAGTGACTGAAAAGATCTTAAAAAGAAAAGGCAGTAGCTGTTTGGTAAAAAGCCGACTGTTTGATTTAGCTCTGTTTGGTATACAAGCTGTTAAGACTAATTAATGCTAGAAGCTACGGACTTATCTGAGATGCTACTCACTGTAGCATCTCAAAAAAGATCTTTTATTTTTATAAATGCTCTTAAAAATTGGTGTGCCAAACATACAACTAAAAGCTTTTAAAGACTTTTTAAATAGTATAAAAGCTAGAAGGCAAGAACTTATGCCCGCCAAACATAGCCTAAAGCAACGAACAGTTTCTTGGAGAGTACTTACAGTGATGCATGACAGCGAAACAAACAAAGTGCAACGGCAGAAACCAACTCAACATTGACCATCCTAACTGAAATTAATTACAAAAATACCGACTGTACCGTGCCCATGATAAGCCGACTGTACCATAGAATTTATCATCTAGCTACTTCAATTTTAAGTCATAATTTCATAAATTGAGCAGAATCAACGGAGCCAACTAATTTCAGTGTTAACAAAAAAACTCTTGTAACCCATAGTGTTTCGGGAATACTTTTGACCTATTTTAACTTTGTACTCCCTCCGTCCCAAAATAAACTTCACGGTCACTATTCACATGGTCAACTTAAATTACTCTTAATCTTATATTTTATATATCAATTTTTTATCAAATTTATATATTTTTATCAGCCTTTGTAGCGGTTTTAATGTAGTTTCTCAATATGTAAATTTTATTTACTAAAAGTAATCTGAGTATGAACATGGATCAAATTGCTTTATCGTTGGTCAAGAATCGTAATTCGAAATGGGAAGTTAATTTTGGAACGGAGGTAGTAAATAATTTGGGATTTTCTTCTCTTACTGAGTATTTGATGTCCAAATTTGAAGAAAATTTTGTACGGAGTATTACAGTTTTTTTTACGTATCCTCGCTAGTCAGCCGAGTCCTTTCTGCTTCAAGCCTTCAATCATTGAAGTCCTCGTCTCAACTAGTCAACTGTCACTTCCACACTCTGTATTCTGTAAAGTAGCTCAAGAACTATTCTTACTCTCTTACTCAAATTTCTAACCAGATCCCAGTTTTGTGAATTTGTACTAGAAAACCTCGGTTTTGTGGATTCTCAGGATTCTGAAAGTTCGTTTTCCAACTAAAAGCCCTCCAGGTAGACACCTTCTCCTACACTTCATACAGTCTGCAACTAGCAGGGTTATCAGAATATGTAGCTTAGTTTCCTTATCAACTGTTTCTTGAAATTTCTCCAAATGGTTTCTGATTCACGTTTGATTGAGTGCAAAAAGAAGAAAAGCTGCTAACTTTATTGAAATTTCCTGCTTTGTATTGCCATGGAAGTGTTAACTTCTACATTTGATGTCAACCGGGGCTTGTTTTGTAAGACTTGGCAGAAACAGTTATATTGGTTGAAATTGGGGAAATTATGGTCTGACAAAGTTGCTAAATAACGGAAAACCTTATATTTGAAATATATTTAATGAATAAAACAAAAAAATATGGGGGAAAGATTAATATAATGGTCTATCTTCAGCAACTTCCCTCAGCAAAAACATACACTCAACCTTACTTTTTCTTAATATTACCATTTTAGTGCATGGAGTCAAGAAATTAGTGCCAAAAGAAGAAGAAAGTGCTACTCTATAGAATTTTATCTCTTTAGATTGCCATGTACTCAATGTCAGGTTTTACACTTGATGTCAATGGGGGCTTGTTTGGTAAGGCTTAAAATGGCTGAAATGGTTAAACCGGTTGAAATTGGGGAAGTTGTGGTCTGACGGAATTTGATAAATCATGGTAAACATTATATCTAAAATAGATTTTATTAATAAAGCAAAAAATGTATGGGGTAAAAAGACAAATGAAATGGTCATCACTCTGATTCCAGCAACTCCAGCAACCTTATATTTACCCATTCAGTGCATGGAGTCAAGAAATTAGCATCCAGTAAAATAAGCCTAAAGATAAGTACTGAGGGCCACTGGAAGGTATAATCAGCTTTTTCCCCATATTGCAGATACAACTACTAGATGGGAGTGATTAAGCCAACTAGTTGGATATCTTCTGTAATTACTACAAAACGATTTGATAGTAAAAAAGTAAAGAAACCCTTCTTTGTGAAGACCTTGCCGTGGAATGCTAATCACTATCAACAGCATGGGTCAAGCCTCGGAAATGGATTGAGATTTGTAAGGGTTAGAAATTCTGGAGCATTAAGTGATGGACAGGCTCTGGAGTATGAGTTAAGTTCTTCTGATTTGGAGGATGAGTTTGCTTCAACCAGAGAGAGATTCATTGGTGCATCAAATGAAGGATATGTGTGAGATCCAGTGCTTACTCTGACTTGATTTATGTTTAGAAGCGCAATTGCTAATATATACGTTTTCCAGTATGATGTTATTCCTGATTAGGAAAAAATACTTGTGTGGAGTTGAGTAGGAGAAAGTTCTGATTCATGATTCTCAGTGCATTGTCAGGTAACTCTGGTGAAGTATTGTCCGCCCATAGTGTCCAAAATGAGCTCATAATGCTTTCTTTACCTGCTATTGCTGGACAGGCAATTGAACCTTTAGCACAGCTTATGGAGACTGCTTATATAGGAAGGATGGGTGAGCCATTTAATATTTTGTGTTCCGTTACTAAACTGTTTCCACCTAATTTTAGGGTCTGTTTGGAAGTCAGAAGTGCTAGGGAAAGATACTATGGAAGAAACTATTGGTGAAATTTAGAAGGAAAATGCAACAAGAAATAAAACATGTGCTCAAAACTCATAGATATGTAAAACTTTAGTAGCATTGATCATGCTTTGTTTCCTCTGCTTGGCCCAATTTGTCAAGCCTCCCTTCATGCAGAGAAAGATAGTACAACATAAGCCTCTATGTTTTTTCTTCTTTTGATTTATTATTCACTGAGAGTAGTCTTGGTATGGTTTGTGTACCAATATCTTAACACGAAATAGTAATACAAGTGGTGAACTGAAAATTTCTACTACATTTAGTTCTTTTGGTATTATTTTAAAGCTATTATTCCAACGGCCAAAAACCTCTTCCCATACATCTTGGGGAATTATCACAATTTTAATAATATTGGACAATGGACTAACTTAGACAAATGTTGCCACCACCAAACAGACTAATAGTCACTGTTCTTGATTTTTTGTGAGTATTAATTCAACTCATATTAAATTTCTCACAATGACGAAGTCTTACATGGCTATTTTGATAGCCGCTACTTCTCCCACCTCAACTATTTCAGTACTAAAAGGAAAAGAGTAACTGTGAATTACCACATAGGTTACATGGCATGTAATTAAAATTTACCCTTAAGTTGATGAGTAAGTAATCTTGTAGAGTAACATAAGGATGAAATAGTAATTCCACATATGGAGACTAAATTATGTGGTAACCTATATTGTCCCTCTAGCATTATTTATTTATTTATTTATATACTACGCATATCATTTAACTGCATATGACATTCTCATTTATTTTTAAATGTCTGAGAACCTATACTGTCCCTCCAGTATTACTCATTTATTTATATAAATAATTTAATCACATATAACATTTTCTTATTTATTTTTAACTTTCCACACAGGGACTTATAAATGTAAATTTGTAAACACACTGCATCTGTGTCCTAGACTTTTAAGGAATGACGTTTTGCTGTGCCCGCGCAGGATAAATTCTAGGGATTTGTCATCCCTAATCATTTTACCCCTAATTTGATCCTTATAAGACCCTTGGAAATATTTTAGTTGCTATATAAATTTTTGTAGCTTAAAATTTGCTAGAAACTATTCCAGTTTCCGATTTCCTGTTAAGTTCCTACCTAACTTAACATTATTTAAAGGCGTACTGGAGTTGGCTTCAGCTGGGATTTCGATATCAATATTTAACATCATATCAAAGGTGTTTAACATTCCTCTGCTAAGTGTGGCAACTTCATTTGTTGCTGAAGACATCTCTAAGTCTGCTGATGGATATTCTGCTACAGGTGATTAAATAGGAACCGTTTTGATCTTATGGATAATATGAATTTAGAGAAAATAGAAAGAAAGAAAGAATAACTTTTTTACTGCAACAGCTGAAAGGAAACATCTCCCTTCAGTCACCACTGCCTTGGTGTTATCTGCTGGAATTGGGTTGTTGGAAGCTGCAGCAATGTATCTTGGCTCTGGACTTTTTGCAAGCATGATGGGTATTCCAATAGTAAGTTTAGTAATACTTTAGTAACTGTTTTTTTAAATCTATTTTTCTTGTGTTTCAATCTTAATGGATGGATTGACCTTGCAGACTTCACCTATGCGCATCCCAGCAGAGAATTTTCTTAAACTTAGAGCACTTGGTGCCCCAGCAGTTGTACTTTATCTTGCCATCCAAGGCATTTTTCGCGGTTTTAGGGATACAAGGACCCCTGTATTGTGTTTAGGCAAGCTTCTATCTATATCATTGGCTGTCATTATTAAAGAAGCTCCGTGAAGAAACTTCTAACTACATCTCATCTTTGACTAATGCTCTCTTATAATATCATTTTTCATGAGAGAATTTCATTGCAGATCTCACACCACTTATTTTTCAGTCAAAACATCACTTGCTCAAATGCATGTTGAGTCTCAACTAGTAAAGAAGGCCATTCATAGTGGTCTAAACCATGGCTTTGTGCTTTAGGGTCCGTTTAGCACCTAGAAAATACTATGGAAAGAAAATAAAGAGGAGAGTTTTGAGAAAATAAGTATAAGAAATGACTGCAAAATGCAAATAGGAGTAAAACATAGGTCATGTACGCAAATAGGAGTAACATTGTTTTGTGTTAAAAATGGGACTTGTCTAGTCATAAAAACAAGTCCAAAAGTAGTTGATAATTCTTCTTTTAGGAGTGAATGAGTCTTATTTCAGTTAAAACAACGATGTACCTATGTGAGGAAATGTGTTATTTTTTAGTCCTTTTTATGTAATTTTCTTAAGAAACTTTAAGGAAATATACAAGATAGGTTCAAGCTCAATAAATTTATTTAAGATACATGGTTCAAACTTATTTTCATATTTCGATTCATGTCATGTGATGTGACTAAGTGATATTGTTGGTCGTCACGCGCCTACCACATCACCCTCCTCCTTTATCGTGGCTTGGGACAAGCATGATACCAAAAATGATCTCATGGCAGAGTTGATGTTGTTGTTGTACATGTTCAAACTTATTTTAATTATTTGTATTTATCATAAGACTAGTAATTTAAATATTTGTAAAAGCTAAAAAACAAGTCATGTTTCATCACCATTTACATTTCCTAAGTAAAACCAAACACAAGAAAATAACATTCCTGAGTATTTTTCTTTACTTTTACCGTAGCATTTGAAGACACCCTTTGTATATAGTTCTGAGACAGCCTTAGTTAATACTACGTAGTTCTGATAAAAGGTTTGGAAAAATAGTCTGGCAGTCATTGACTTATTTCTGCTTTAGGAAATCGCTAAGTCATTTTTATGCAACAATACAAACAAACAGGGGCGGAGCCAGGGACTGGGCTGGACTAGGCCAGAACAAAGACTATTTTTGGAAAGAAAAGTTACACGAATTTTTTTAACTTAAAAATATACACTTTTTAAATTTGGGGTGGGGTGGGGCCTAGGTTGCCCCCCTAGCTACGCCCCTGCAAACAAAATACTCTTGGGCATAACTACCCATTTCTTAAATTTACTGGTAACATATAATTCATTAGTATATTTTCATTGATTTTGATTGTTTCTAATTATAAATTTGGAAAATGTTGCAGGGTTAGGCAATCTTGCTGCTGCATTTTTCTTTCCCATATTAATGTATATTTGTCGACTCGGCATAACTGGTGCTGGTATTTCAACTGTTGCCTCACAGTAAGTTCCTGGATGATTTTGGTTTATGTACTCTTAAGTCATATCCTGTTATACAGCTCTGATGTTTAGAAAAATGCAGATATATTGTAGCCATTTTGATGTTATGGCATCTTAATAAGAAGACAGTGTTGTTGCTACCAAGCATGAAAAACTTGCATTTTGGAGGCTACCTAAAATCTGGTAAGTTTCTCTTTTCTTTAAAACCTCAACAGTAAATACATATTTGAAGTTCAATAATTTTTCCTTATGTCCTTTACACTATTGAACTCAACCGCTTCATTTATTGTTTATATAATTGTCCGTTAGGTGGTTTCCTACTCGGGAGAACCCTGGCTGCTGTTTTGACAGTAACTTTGAGCACATCAATGGCAGCTCGCCTTGGAGCGATTCCCATGGCTGCTCATCAGATATGCCTGCAGGTCTGGTTGTCTGCATCCCTTCTCGCCGATGCTCAAGCTTCGTCTGGTCAGGTAAGCGTCATTTTTTGTTTCCAAATAACCCTGAGGGTAACCCTCATGTGGTACTTATGAAAATGAGACTTAGGGTTACCCTCAAGAAAATTTTCAGGGTACCTGGTTATTTTAAGAAATGTAAATACCTGAGGTGACTTTAGAAAAATCCCCCTTTTTGCAAGAAGTTGAAGATTTTGTCCTGCACCGGCTAGATATGAAATAACAAATTAACTCACAAATCCTATATGACATCAGAGACAACCCGATATGTAGCCATAATTGAGTACCCTTGTGGAAATGAAAAAATACGGTCTAGATGAGGTGTCAGGTTGTGAGGGTATTGTTCTAATGAAATAAATTGATATTGCATGGTCTAGATGATGTGTTGGGCCAAGAAGATAAAATTAAAAAAAACATGATTTAGCCGATGTGTCTAGTAGTGAGGAGGTGTTGAAGAGTTTGAATTGAAAACGCATGTAAGTCAAAATAATAAGCATCATCATCATGATTATCACTACCCCAGTGCAGCAAAGGCTCCCACCTACGGTGTGGTAAGGTGGGGTCAGATGTACGTAGTCTTACCCATGTACTAAAGCACAGAGAGGCTGTTTCCAGACCCACAGTGAAAAACGCGTCCAAAATTGCATGAACTGATTGCTACTTCATACTCCGTAACAAAGAAGTGCAGACAGTTTAGTGAGTCATTTTGCTTTATTCCATCATATTCTTTGGCTGCATTGCAAATTATGGAAATATGTAAGTCAAAATAATACTTTGCCAAAAAATTGTGGACACCCTTCTTTTTTGTTAATCACTATCCATTTTGCAGGCTCTCATTGCAAGTGCATTCGCCAAACAGGACTTTAATAGAATCAAAGTGATTACAGAAGTGGCATTGAAGGTAACTCTTTGACCTTTTTCCTGTGTCTGAGTTAACGTCATGTGCTTCCATTTCCTTGCTTTGATCTTTTTTCTTGTATAATAGTGCAATAATTTTCATGTTTTAGACAGGATTATTTACTGGTGTTTTGTTAGCCATTGTATTGGGGCTATCTTTTCCTTCTATTGCAAGGTTGTTCACCAATGATGCCCAAGTGCTAGGTATTGCAAGATCTGGGCTCCTGGTATGTGATTGTTTATATCTTTCATCTATGACTTTTTATTTATTTATGGATAAATTGCTATTTTTTGGCAATGGAGCCAAAGATTCCATCATTTGCAATGGAGCCAAAGATTCATTATTTTTTGGCTTGAGATTATGATAGAATAAAGCAAAATGGCTCACTAAACTGTCTGCGCTTCTTTGTTATGAAGCATCAGTCAGTCCATGCAATTTTGGACGGGATTTTCACTATGGGTCATCCGGAAACAGTCTCTCTGTGCTTTAGTACATGGGTAAGGCTGCGTACATCCGACCCCCCCTTACCCCACCGTAGGTGGGAGCCTTTGCGGCACTGGGGTAAATGAAAATGAAAAATGGATAAATTGCTATTTTAGTCCCTCAACTACGCAACTTTAGCCATTTTTAGCTCTTCAATGTAAACTTGCGTACATATGATCTCCAGTTGTACCACTTAGTATGCCCTTAACCTCAGTTAAATATTATATTTCTAATACTCTTTGGATGATACCTTTTGAGATTCACATGTACTAGTGTTTGGCATATAATGAGGTTAAGAGTGTAAAATTGCACTCCCTCCGTCCCTATTTTATCTTCATTCTCTCCTTTTTCATCCTCCTATGAATGATCTCTTATTATTTCCTTTAGGAAAAGGATTGTATGAGTGATCTTGTTTCTATCTCTTCTAAACAAATTGCAACTACACAATTTTTACTTTCTTAATACCTGTGCTCTAAAGAGAAGAATAAAAGTGACCGAGGGAGTATCAATCTTTTGGAGAATTAACGATTTCTTTGGTATTGATAATTTGAAAAATATGACTTATATTTTGAAACATTTGAGAGTATTTATTATATTTGTTCAAGACTAGAATATTTATCTTCTTTGTTTGACATATGATACTCACATTTATTTCAGTTTGTCAGTGCCAGTCAGCCTATCAATGCACTTGCTTATATTTTTGATGGTCTTCACTATGGTGTTTCAGATTTCCCATATGCAGCTTCCTCCATGGTAAGATGAAAAGTGTTCACCGAATCACACCTAAATTATGTTTCTAATCAATTATTCATTAAAAAAGAGTTAACCACGTTAACACCAAAGCTCTTTCTTTACAAATTTTGCTACTTTATTTATAGATGGCAGTCGGGGCTATGGCGTCTGCATTTTTGCTTTATGCGCCTTCGATCATTGGTCTTCCTGCAGTATGGTCTGGATTGACTATTTTCATGGGTTTGCGTACTATCGCTGGGTTTTTTAGGTAACTAAATAACCAACTTAACGAAAGACAAAACAAACTATCTTTTTGTTTAGCAAACCTTGGTAATATCTTTTACATGGTTCCACACCTTTAGGAAGTGAAGAAAAAGGGAGTGTTGTATGCTTGGTTGGGGACAGAGAGGAGGAAAGTGGAGTAGATATATGTTCCCTTGAACTTCTCATTTCTTACTCTCAAATCTGGGGTATTTAGGCAGAGTTGTTAATTTTAACTTTATTTCTTTCACGGTTTCACCCTTTTCATACACTCTAACGTTTTATATACTTGGTATAAATACTAATTTTCTACATTTTAATGCTATATATTTACATTAATATATTGGTAAGTAAATCAAATACAAATTTTTGCATATGTCTAAAATACTCATTGGTCTCTTCTATGGATATCTCCCCTGTAAGCAATTGTGATTTTCATTGAATTGAAAAAGAATAGTACATCCGTATATGTAAGCTACAGGCAGTAGAGTTCAACTAGGATTCTAGTACTCATTCGTGCAGTTGGTTACAGGAGATATACATGAGTAAATACATATGGATATATACTAAACTATTAACAATAATTAATGATAATGGTTAAGATAAAAACTGATTAATGTATATCCTTTATACGCCCCCTCAAGATGGAGGATCCATCGGAGACTCCCATCTTGGACCGAAAATAGAGAAAACCAGCTCGTCCTAGTGGTTTTGTGAGGACATCTGCCCGCTGGAATTTGGAAGAAACATGATGAACAAGAAGAGAGCCGGCTGCAACCAAATCACGTACAAAAAAGTAATCCAAGGCGAGATGTTTCATGCGAGAATGAAACACAGGATTTTTGCAGACATAAGTTGCACTAAGACTATCAGTAAACAAGCGTGGAGGAGCGGTAAATGAGATAGACAGCTCACGAAGTAAATGTTGAACCCAAAGAACTTCGGCGGCAGCATTGGCAATCGCTCGATATTCCGCCTCAGTGGAGGATCGAGAGACTGTTTTTTGTAAAGCAGATTTCCATGAAATAACATTAGAGCCCAGGTAGATGAGGTAAGCAGTAGTAGAACGGCCAGCAGTGTCCGGGCCACCCCAATTGGCATCACTAAAGGCTGTAAGGTTCAAAGGAGCATCAGCGCGCAGTAGAAGACCATGACACATGGTTCCTTTAAGATACCGTAAAATGCGTTTGGCTGCAAGCCAATGAGCAGCCAACGGACCATGCATATATTGAGAGAGCCGTATTACCGAAAAGGAGATATCAGGCCTGGTGTGTCCGAGATATTGTAATAAGCCAAGAAGTCGTCTATAGTCAGATGTATCAATGGCCCGGGAGGGATCAGCAGGGGGTAGACGTTCATCCGAGGCCATGGGAGTAGTTACTGGTTTGGCTCCATCCATGTGAAACTTGGTCAAAATATCGTAAATATACTGAGACTGAGAGAGAAACATCCCAGTAGGTGTAGGAATGGCTTCGATACCCAGAAAGTGATGAAGAGTGCCCAAATCCTTTAAAGAAAATCGAGCAGCAAGTATAGCAATAAACCGATTCAAAATATTGTTATCATTACCCGTGAGAACAATGTCATCCACTTAGACCAAGAAATACATACGAACTCCCCGAGAGGTATATATAAATAAGGACGAATCTGCCCTTGACTTATGAAATCCAAATTGAATCAAGAAGGTAGACAGCTCAACATACCATGCCCGAGGGGCCTGTTTCAAGCCATATAATGCTTTACGAAGGCGGCAAACATGAGTCGGATGTTGAGGATCAATATAGCCTGGCGGTTGATCAAGATAAACCTCATCATGAAGAGTGCCGTTGAGAAAGGCATTGTTGATGTCAAGTTGACGAATAGACCACCCATGGTTTAATGCCAAAGTAAGAATGATACGTACCGTTATAGGTTTCATGACAGGGCTAAATGTCTCCGAGTAATCACGTCCGGCCTCCTGAGAATACCCCTTAGCCACAAGACGGGCTTTGTAACGGTCAATGGATCCATCGGGTTTCCGTTTGATTCGAAAGATCCATTTGCACCCAATAGTATGACAGCCGGTGGAGGGAACCAGATCCCACGTGCTATTTCGTTTGAGTGCAGAGTACTCCTCATCCATAGCAAGCCGCCAGAGGGGATCCTTCAGAGCTTGAGTGACAGTCCGGGGTTCAAGAGTTGAAACAGGAGAATGTACTGTGGAAACATTAATAAATGATGGACCGAAGTATTTTGGATTGGGATGACGAGACCGAGGGGGTCGAGAGACCTGGGTGGCAGAATTATGACAAATATTTGGTATTGGGTTTGTAGGTGCTACTGGAGAATTTAGTTGTGATAAGGGAGGAGTGGCAGGCGGTTGAGTGGGAGATAAGGATGGAATATGGTGTGGAGGAGTAGCATGGAAATTGGTAGATGGGGTCACGTGTGGAGTGGAAATAGGAGATGAGGCTGACTCATTGTGGGAACTAGATACGACAGGTATGCGTACAGGAGGGAATGGGAGATTGGATGATGTGGAGGAAGAAATTGAGGGATAAATGTGGGAAACAAATTTGACATGCCGGGAAACGTACAATTTGTTTGATGAGGTGTCAAGACATTTGTACGCCGATTGAGATACGGAATAGCCCAAAAAAATACACGGAACAGACCTGGATTGAAGTTTATGACTAGTATAAGGACGCAGCCAAGGAAAACATAAACAACCAAAAGGTTGTAATTTTGTATAATTAGGAACAGTCTGGAATAGGCGTTCATAGGGAGAGGCAAAGTTTAGTAACTGAGTGGGTAGACGATTGATAAGATAAACAGCAGTTTGAAAGGCATGAGGCCAAAATGTGACCGGGAGAGATGCCGTATGTAAAAGAGATAAGCCGGTTTCAACGATATGACGATGACGGCGTTCAGCTGTCCCATTGTGTTCAGGAGTGTGAGGGGGAGTGGTAAAGTGAGAAATACCAGCTAAATTTAAGAGAGGAAGTAATTTAATGAATTCCCCACCATTATCAGAAAATAGCGTCACAATTTTGTGATTGAATTTATTTTCCACAAGTCTACGGAATTGAGGAAATATAACATAGACGTCTGATTTTTCTTAATAGGATACAACCAACTATATTTGGTGAAATGATCAACAAATATGACATAATAGAGAAATCCGTCAACGGATATTTGTTTTGTGCTCCAAACATCGGTATAAATAAGTTCAAGTGGACGAGTACTAGTAAGTGAATTAACCGCAAAGGGTAATTTATGACTTTTATTAATATGACAAGAGGTACACACAAACTCACTAAGTGACCGAGCAGACACGGTCATGTTACATTTATTTAAAATAGAAACTAAGACTTTATTGGACGGATGACCCATGCGGTGGTGGAGTTGAGATAAAGTAGATAGACTGGTAGCATTGATACTTGGTGGATTGACCGACGGAGCATAGTATACGCCATTGATATTTTCACCCCTGAGGATTGGACTCCCGGTTGGTTGTTCCTTCACAAGAAAATGAGATGGAAAGAATTCAACAGAAACTCGATTAGTTTTACAAAGTTGAGAAACTGAAACAAGATTTTTGTGAAGTTGGGGAACACAGAGAACATTAGTAAGCGAGAGAGGACGGGTAGGAGTAGAAACTAGGGTACGACCAACATGAGAAATAGGGAGAGACATACCATTGCCTAAGTGAATTTCATCCGGACCGTCATATGTTGAAAACTCTTGAAGAGAAGCCACGCCAGAGGCTGCATGATGAGAGGCACCAGAATCAAACATCCAAAGGGTTGAGGGGCCTGAGAGTGCACTGGTGGTCATTGTAGTATGCACAGAAGGAGAGACAGTGAGATGATTCTCACGAAGAAATCGAGCCAGTTTGCGACAATCCTTAACAACATGCCCCTGAAAGTTACAAAATCTGCAAATGGGTGATGCCCGACTAGAAGTGTTAGGAGTGGAAGGCCTGGAACCAGCTGAGGATTGCTGACTGGAGCGTGAACGATAGCCACCATGAGGAGTGGAATCACGTTTGCGAGCATCAGTAGCAAACGAACCATGCGGAGTGTATCTCTGAGTAGCATTAGCAGTAGGTATTAATGAAGAAGCACTGGGTTCATCAGAAGCCTGCAGAAATCTCTCGTGATCAGTAAGAATCTGAGACAATTCAATCATGGAGGTGGGTGTGTTGCGGACACGTAGTGCACTGATGATGGGACGATAATCAGCACCTAATTGATTGAGAATGGATATGTGCAGATCAGTGTCAAACACCGGACTCTTGGCTAGGGCGAGATCGCCGGCAATTTCTTGCATATCCTTTAGATACTCAGAGATTGAGCGATTGCCTCGCGGATTGCGAGAGAGTTTATCTTTGAGAGCAAGAATACGGCCTGGAGACGCATTGGCATAGCTGGTTAGAATAACATCCCATGCCTCCTTCGCCGTCGTGACATTGGAGATGAGAGGTTGAACCGAGTCAGTGCAGCTTCCAAGCAAGGCGCTAATCAGGATCTGATCCTGACGAAAATAAATTGAATAGCAGGGATTCGGAACCATCTTGGCATTATCAGTGAATTTCGCCGGAATGACAAGCGTACCGTCAACATAAGCAAGAAGATCATAGCCAATAAGTGTAGCTTCAACCTGTCGTTGCCAAACTGGAAAATTTCCAGCAGTTAATTTGATGGGAAGGTTGGTGGGTGCATTGAGTTGGACAAGAGAAGTGGATGCCGTGATTTCCATTATCAGGGAATGGAGGAATCAGGAGAAAAAAATTTATTGAGGTAGAGGAAGCTCTACAAGGCTCTGGATACCATGTAAGCAATTGTGATTTTCATTGAATTGAAAAAGAATAGTACATCCGTATATGTAAGCTACAGGCAGTAGAGTTCAACTAGGATTCTAGTACTCATTCGTGCAGTTGGTTACAGGAGATATACATGAGTAAATACATATGGATATATACTAAACTATTAACAATAATTAATGATAATGGTTAAGATAAAAACTGATTAATGTATATCCTTTATATCCCCTCCCCTCTCCTCTTTTGAACCAAACAAGGGCTTGAAGTTTAGATTGTTCACTCATTTCTATGGATATCTAAACCAGCATTCTGGCGTTCAATTAGGCAACAACTAGACATCACAATAAATAAGTATAAACTTACATTCCATGCCAGGTTGTCTGCAAAGGATGGCCCGTGGTGGTTCCTACACGATACGCTGAAGGATGAGGTAGGTTAAAATACAATCATCTTTTATTTATATTGATTCTCAAGAAAAGAAACAATGCTCTTGCAAAAAGTCATTTGCATTGCCTCACAAACATGGGGAACATTTTAGATGCTTGTAATAGAAGTCAAGGTTAGTGTTTGGTTTGGCCTCATGCATTGTGGTAAAAAATCTTTAGGTGCAAAAGTAGGTTTGATAAGGAATTTCTAGTTTACAGTAGCCAGATGGCAATGGTGGTAGCAACAGAAGACAACAATGGTTTGAGATTGATAATTGTACTTTTACTTCTATTTGGAGCAATTTCTTTTTGGATTAAACCATTCTTAAAATGAATAAAGCGGTTTTTACTTTGTTTTAAAGATCTAACTACAATTAGGCGGGCAAGCCGCCAAAAAATGTTAGCGTCCAGTAAAATGTAATGCTGATGGAGATTATTCATACGTTAAACTGTTAAAGATTGTGTTTGGTTCTTTATATTATGCAGATTGCAATATGACACAACACCTGCATAAAGAGAGTTTTGGGAAGTATCCTTGTGGTGAAACACAAATCTTATCACCTCCTGTTAAAATTGTGATTTAAATTGTAAAATTGTACGAGTTTATGATTTCTCAAATAAAACATATTTGAACGGTATGCAAAATTGTACCCCGAAAATCGCAATACATGAATACATGTTCATTTAAAACTGTACCACATCATAGTAAATTCACAAAAATGACGTATCGGTGTTATTTATTCTGAAAGTAATCAGGAATGGTGTTGTTCAGTTTTTCGTGCGTGTTTCACATATGTTACATGTTTAAAGTTCAAGTGATCTACATTATAAAAAGGGACAATTTGAATTTGCACCTCATTTTATTGTCCAAATTACACTTTGCACCCCGTTTTTTGTGTGATGACTTTGCACCCCGTTTTTAAAAAACTTTGTATTTGCACTCCAGCCCCTTATGAAAAGACAAAAATGCTCCTCAATCAGGAATATGTTGAAGGCCAACAGAATTGTTAATGGAGGGACATTCTTGTCTTTTCATACGGGATTGGGGTGTAAAAACAAGGTGCAAAGTCTAATTTGAATAATAAAATGAGGTGAAAACTCAAATTATCCCTTATAAAAATAGTATCTAAGTTATCTCAAACTTGACTTAACTTTACATTTTAATAAGGAAACATGACAAATATTTTTGGAAGGTAAGAGTATAACTAATTTTTTATTTTTTCAAGAAGTGATTAATCTTTATATACTCCCTCCGTCCCAATTTGATAGTCTCATTTCTTTTGGGCACAAGTTTTAATAAAGTGGTTGAAAAGGTAAAAGTTGTGGTTGAGATTTGAGTATAATAAAGTGAAATGATATGTATCACATCTTTCTTTCCAAAAAGGGAAACATGAACATCATTTTGGGACATCCCAAAAAGGAAATACAGGATTATCATTTTGGGACGGAGGGAGTAATAAATATACTTCTTTTAATTCTAATTACACAACTACCCACCCCTGCCCCTTGCGTCACCGCATGTCCCACTGCCTTCTCTAGCAACAAATGTCAGTGGTTGGCACCACTTGTCGGGAAAGTCATTAAAAAGATTTGCAAGAATTTTTTACAGATTTCTTTTTTGAATTTCAGCAAGAAATTTTTTCCAACGATTGTAATTGTTAAATCTGGGGAGTTGGGAAACTGTTTTAGAAAATCTGGCGGATTTCTCAGAGTATCGTGTGATCACTTTCCGAATCTAATATTTCGACCCTATGCCTGGGTTACACGAAATTTAGATTATGAGGATAATCACTCTGAGAGACAGTCTAAAACTGAGGCACTAATATATAGACCACGAACTAGCAGTTTTAGTAGAACTCGAATTCTTCTGATTACCAAAGAGATAAGGCCAATCGGTTAGAGTTTTACTCTAACAGAAAGAGACCCCCGCCAGGGGCGCTGCCCCTTGGACCCCGCAAGGGGGCGCAGCCCCCTTGACCCCCGCCATTTAATCGAACCAAGTTTAAATTTAATTTCGTACAAGTGTGCGCTCCGCACCTCCTAACTTGTCTAAAATTAAACTTGAACTCCATTGGTAATCTGTAAATTCCATTACACTAAAATGAACCTGGTGATACTAAAATCACCAACAATCCTCCCCCATTTTAGTGTAACCATGAATCTACATAAACAAGAATAAGAGACAACCAAACTTATGCATACATGAAAATATCGAAACGATTGAATTTTCATATTAGTACATTACACATTCCAAATACTCGAGAATCAGGGTGTTCTAAGAATTGAACCCTTCAACCCATTTGAATACATGAAGATAACATACACATAAGTTCAAATAAACAACTAGTTCAAAACTTTGACACTATTATTAAGTCGAGTGTCCCAATCCATTCATAATCGTATAAAAGTCAAGTCCCAACTTTTCGAAGTGCGGCTACACTTCACGATCATATAGGTAATTCCTAAGCCTAGGAACAAATAAAACATCAGACAACTTTATTGTTTTTCCCGAAGTAAACGTAAGACTAACAACTCCAAAGCCACAAATTGGTTGACTCGACTTATCACCCATCATCACCGTGGAACCATCATCAACTGGTGTCAATTTCTCGAACCATCGACGATCTTTACACATATGACTTGTGGCACCCGAGTCAACCCACCATGTACGGTCATCATCCTGTACATAAAAAGAACCAGGAATTAGTGAACAATAATTCTGAGTAGAATTATAAAGAGGGTTAGAAAGATTCTGACCTCCTCTAGATGCAGTAGAGTCCTTAGGCCCACTGTTTCCACCACCACTGTTTCCTCCACCACTATTTGCAGCATTGTTCTTATTGAGATTCACCCGACAATCACGCTTAACATGACCCGTCTTTTGACATCTCCAACAAACCAGATCCTTAGGATTCTTATTTGGTTTGTCTCGGCTATCATTCTTGCGTTTGATGCCTTTTCCCTTGTGATTTTGATTGTTTTTGTTTACTTCAACCATGTGGACAGTAGGCTGTCCAACATCAGGCTTTGCCTTATTTTTGTCACCTTCTTGAATGCGGAGTGATTCCTCAATCTGTATGTGACTACCGAGTTGTAACAGAGACAACTCTTCATTCCCATGTTTCAGATCACGCTTGTAATCCTTCCATGTTGGTGGTAATTTTTCAATTATCATCGCTACTGCGACGCACTCATCCATCTTCATATTATGTTGAGTGAGTTGGCCCAGAATGCGAAGAATTTCATTGTATTGTTCCATAACAGGCCTTGAGTCCATCATCTTATAGTGATAAAAATCACTAACAAGGAACTTCTTACTAGAAGCATCCTCAGCCATATACTTGGACTCAAGTGAATTCCACAATTCCTTCGCACTCTCCACGTTTTGGTAAATATCAAATAAAGTATCAGACATACCGTTTAGAATATGGCCCCTGCAGATGTAGTCATCGTTTTCCCACTTGGAACGATGCCTTGACTGCTCAATAGTTTCATCTTCGTGATACGCTGGCATAGGCGTACTCAGAACGTAAACCACCTTCAGTGTGGTCAACAGAAAGTGCATCTTCTTTTGCCAGCGACGGAAATCAACTCCTTGGAATTTCTCCAACTTGTCGAATTTGGAAGTCATCTCTTTTACAGATTCAGCCATGATTTTCCGAAACAAGAAAAAATATTAGATTCGATTGTTAAATCTGGGGAGTTGGGAAACTGTTTTAGAAAATCTGGCGGATTTCTCAGAGTATCGTGTGATCACTTTCCGAATCTAATATTTCGACCCTATGCCTGGGTTACACGAAATTTAGAGTATGGGGATAATCACTCTGAGAGACAGTCTAAAACTGAGACCCCCGCCAGGGGCGCTGCCCCTTGGACCCCGCAAGGGGGCGCTGCCCCTTGGACCCCGCAAGGGGGCGCAGCCCCCTTGACCCCCGCCATTTAATCGAACCAAGTTTAAATTTAATTTCGTACAAGTGTGCGCTCCGCACCTCCTAACTTGTCTAAAATTAAACTTGAACTCCATTGGTAATCTGTAAATTCCATTACACTAAAATGAACCTGGTGATACTAAAATCACCAACAGTAATGACATGTTTCGCTAGGGCGGTGACACGGGTGATGACAACTCTGACATTGGCATTCATTAATAGTGACATAAACACTAACATCATGTTTTTCCAAAATTATTAGTAACTATCTTAGTCATATTTTTATCCATATACTTCTTACGTTCTCTTTTAATTGCAATACCTCACTTTTTAACGTTTGTTAAATTACAACTTTGACCATTAACATATTTAGTATGAGTATTATATTATTAAAAAAATTAAAATTCATATTTTGAGAATTTACAACAAGGCAAGTTAATGATGTTTTTCAAACGGTGAACCGGTGAAGCCTTAGGCCTTGTTTGGGTCAAAGGAGGGGAGGGAAGGGGAGAGTCAAGGAGGGGAGGGAAGGGAAGGGGAAGGAAGGATTTTGATAAAAATTTGTGTTTGGTTGGAAGAAATAGGAGGAAAGATTTAATGAAAATATTTTCGCAATTTACTTTTATTTGATAGCTTACTTAAAAAATAGATACATGTCTAACTATTGTGAATATTACTCCTATGGTCATGAGTCAGAATTTTATTTTATTTTATTTTTTACTTTTTTAATTTTATAATTTTTCATTTTTCAGTTTGGAATTTTTTATTTTTGATTTTTATTTTTTAAATTTTTTATTTTTAATTTTTAAAATTTTAATTTATAATTTTTTAATTTTTTAATTTTTAAAATATTTAATTTTTTAATTTTTAAATTTTTTAATCTTTAAATTTTTAGATTTTTCGAAACTTTTTATTTTTTTACCTTTTTATATTATAACATTTTGTTCATTCACGTAGGAGATGGATAGTTTGTTGTTATCAACACGTTGCTTCCGAAATACCCCGATTTGGGGGGTTCAGAAATCAGAATGAGAGGAAGTGAAAGATTTTGAAAGTCTTCCACTTTCCTCCCCTTCCCTCCAATTTCCTTCAACCAAACACACACAAATCCCTCATTTTCCTCCCCTCCCCTCCAAAACCCTCCAACCAAACAGGGCCTTAGGCTCTCATCCTTTTTCTTTTTCTTAAAAAAGCTGGCAGAAAAAGAAAGGGTGATGCACATGCATAAGCTATATTTTTGTGTGATGGGAAATAAGGTCTGATGGCCCAAATTGATATTCAACCAAGAAAATATTATAGTACGGAGTATGCTTTATTTAGCACAATTATTGTTGTCTTTCTCTAATAACCTGCACCTGGCTAACACTTGCAACAATCCCTCACTGAATAAACCTGTTTAGTATAGTTATACTTCATCCTCTCACAAAACTTTGTCCTTCTGTCTTAGAAGAATTTATTATTTCCATTTAAATTAATAAATACGTCAATAAAATTATTTCTTTCATCTATTTACGAATCTGAACTACATCGTCTTAGAGCCCGTTTGGTGATCCCGTTTTACGGCTTATCGGACTTATCAGACAACTTTTTCAGCAAACATGTACTTCGTTTGGTGACCCCGGAGTAACTTTTTATTTCGGGCGCTGAATTGTGTAATAATAAGAAAAGGTAAAGTTGAAGTTACTTTTCTGGCTGTATTGGTTGAAGTTATTGTAGAGGATCATTTTAGATATTTTTCATATAATTTTTTTTATTTATTTTGATAATAAAAATTATTTTAAATAAAAAAAATTCATATATCAGCAGAATGAGTTAGTACAACCACTTCACCCATAACTTTATAAATTTCATCATAATTAGCCAATTTAACCAATTTCAGTGTTACCAAACGGGCTCTTAGTTTATTATTAAGTAATTGTCCCATATAGGACTAAAACAAGACTGAAATGCAAAAATAAGACTTCTTATCTTTTTTTCCCCAAATAGGATCAATTTAATCCTATTACGAAACATAAAGAAATTTGCATCCCAAATTTTTCTCCCAACCTCCAGTACCAGGCATCAAATCTACTTGTGCAGCAGAAGCTTTCTCTTCTATGCACCATAAGCTTTCTCCTCTCTGCACCAGAAGCAACTTCATCCGACCGATCCTCTCTCTCACGCCGCCTTCGACTCTCTTCTTCCGCACAATCAATCGGATGCGCACTAGATCCGCTTCTTCCGCGGTAGGAACAATGGATTCCTCTTTGCACATCGCTCCCATAGACACCGCTACCGCCTACCGCCACTCTCCCTCACGTCGTCGTTGAGGTTCTCCTCTTCATTCTCCTCTGCCTCCTTCTCCTCCTCCTCCTCTTTCTTCTTTTTGATTCTTCTATTTCTCTATTTTTCTGGATGTTGACATTGATTTTGCCAATTTTTGGATTTCTGTTTTATATTTACAATTTCCGATTTCATATTTTTTTAAATAATTGCAAATTTTCCAAAATTTTGGATGATGTCTTCAGATTTTGCCAAGTTTATGCCAAAAAAATGTATACTGACAAGTGATTATGGCAAAATTTCATTTATGTAAAACGATTTTTCTAATTTTTTGTCATTAGCTTCGTTTTCTAAATTTCTGATTGTGTTAACGTGCTTATTCCATTTTTTTTTATTTTTCAAATATTTGGATACTGAATTCATATTTTTGCCAAATTTATGGCATTTTTTGTTTTAATCTTCCAACGAAAATCTGCCATCTTTATGGCAGGTCTAAAAACCTGCCAACTTAATGGTGGTGGTGGCGAAGGATGGTGGTAGATCCAACAACGGAGGCGACAGGCGGCACTGGAGAGGGCGGTGGTAGGCGATGCCGGTGAGGGCGGCGGCAGGCAGTGCCGACAAGGGTGGCGGCAGGCGGCACCAAAGAGAGAGGTAGTGTGCGGCGGCGAGGGTGGCTTGTTTGTTACGATTGAAATTTAGGGTTTCAACATTTTAATTTTACATTTTTCTTTTAATTATTCATTCAAAAGAAATTGAGTAGGGGCATATTTGTACAAGTATGTGATTTTAAGTCCTATGAAACATACGTTTCATTTTTTGTCCTATTTGTGCACATGAATCATCTTTTAGTTCTATTTAGGGAATTAACTCTTTATTATTTTACCTATCAGACAACTTTTATCAAATAATATTGAACTAATTAATACTTCGTACACTTTTGGTCATATGAATTTTCTTTCAATTCCACATTTAATCTACGTCTTTTATCTTGTTCACTTTTGATACTTGTCATTTTCCCACCACTTTAACCACCGGAAGTGGAATACAATAATCATGCAACAAAAAGTTATCAAAGTGAAAGAATGAAGTGGACTAATTATGGTGCGATAATATTGACAGCAATTGAGTAGCAGCTCCTGTCATTGGAATGCTCACTAGCTGTATCGGCTAAGCCGCGGTATAAATGAAGGCAAGTGGATGTTCTCCTTGATGATCAAACATTTTCAATCTCCATCCTACTTAAAATATTTCAGTATAGATTCCGTACCCCCACCGACTCCTCAGTTCATGCAAAAAGTATACCCGTAATATATAATTATGTTCTGAAGAAGAATAAGAACTTGAAATCCAGCAAATATGAATAATCGTCTTCTATTGCCCTTTGCTGCTTTTCTCGTGCCAGTAATATTAGGCATCATAATTCTCCAGCTCGACTCGTTTGACCCGGCGGCTTACCCGGCTGACCAGCTCAGCCGGAAGAAGCCGCTGTCGGCACCGAGCCGCAACAGTCGCATGTTTCATGGTTCCGAGAAGATAGGACTGGGGCGGGTGTGGGGCCCGGAGGACATCTTGTACGATCCCAAGACGGGAGTCATTTACACCGGGTGCATGGATGGGTGGGTCAAGAGAGTGACGGTCAACGAGTCTTCCGCCGCCGACTCCGTGGTGGAGGACTGGGTCAACACCGGCGGCAGGCCGCTTGGACTCGCTCATGGGCATCACGGTGAAGTCTTAGTTGCTGATGCTGATATTGTGAGTTTCCCTTCGTAGCTAGTTTGGCAACACTAATATTTGTTATTAATAAATAAAATAAAAAATTACTCCATATATGATAAAATAACTAAAATGATCTTCTACAGTAACTTTAACCAATACGGTCTAAAAAGTAACTACAACCTTACTTTCTGTTTATTACACAATTTAACACGCTAAATCAAAAGTTACGTCACTTATGTGTTTGGGAAATAAGTTGACTCATAAAACTGATAAGCCGAAAAAAGGGTTACTAAACGGGTTGTTAGTTTCTTACGCAAAGAAGTTACTCACAAAGTCCCAACTCGCAGTTCCAAACTGGCAAACTTCATGGACACAACCACAAGAAATTGTTTTAGAATTTAATTTGTAAGTTACCCAGGCTTTTTATTCTCCTAAACAAAAGGGAAATAAACATCCTCGCAGAAAAGGGAAATTAAGATGGTAGATACAGAAAAAGAATCAAAACAGCAGGAAGAACATTGAAATTGAAATTTTATGAAAAATAAGAATTACGGACCACGTATTACTTTAAAACAATCCGGTGTGGGACAAATACTTTAACATACTCGTCAACTCAAATCAGGCTGGACAATATCGTGCCTATAAATAGGTCAAACAAATCTTTAACAAGTTACTCTTGATCATGGTGCTTGATGGAGTATATGGGTCTGAGCCCCCGGACCCACATACTCGGAAGAACAGAAGGCACAAGACAACAGAGTGGCGCCCTCGTCGGCCAAGACGCCCCCGTCGGCCGAAAAGGGGCCAACTCGGATTATGGTCCTGAGTCCAAGGAACCCGGGTGCCCTCGTCGGCCACGCCCTCGTCGGCCAAGAAGACCTCCCAGAATCGGATTTTACACTTACTCATTTGTACATCCCATTAGTGGCTTTGTATTCGGCCCAGTAGCAGTCCAGTTGTAAATGGGCCTCCCAAGCCCAAGACTTGGGAGCCCAGCCCTAATTTTCTCTATAAATACTCCCTTTGGGAGTAGTTATAGGGGTTACAAAATCATTCTATTGAAGCATATTATTGCACTTCTCTCTCTAGCTCTCACTTCTCTCTAGATATACTCTATCATTTGGTGCTCTCGTTGAGAGCTAGAACAATCAAGTTAGCACCCTTCGTCGCTACCAAGCACAGCTAACCACTGATCATGGGGAGAACCAAGTCAAACCGCAACCTCATCAGCAAAGCCATCCTGAGGACCAAGAGCCCAGGGAGCACGATGAGGACGCCACGGCCGACCAGGTCGGCGGAGGGGACCTCTTGCAGGAGGCCTTCAACCTCACGACGGACCTCCGCAACCAACTCAACGACGGAGTCCCTGATGCCCGCCTCGGCCTGGACAAGAAACGAGCTGAGAAGACGGACCACGCCCCGGCCCAGCCTATGGCCGCGGCCTCTCCGTCCGTGGATCCGCAGGTCCAGGCCGCGCTATCGGTCATCATCGCCAGCCTGGCTCAGAACCCCACCGTCCTCAGCGCACTCTTGCCAAGGACCGGGGGAAACGTCACTCCACCTCCTCATCCCCAACCGTTGGCCGTCTAGATAGGCAACAATGAGGGGGTTATGGCCCAGGACACGGCATCGTCCCACTCCCACCCTGCTTCCCCTCTTCGGCCCGGGCAGACCCCAGCGCGTGGAAAAGCCTCTGCCTTCAATAGGCTAGGTGACACGCGCCGTCGTCCGGTTTCAGAGAGGATGGCGGGACGGATTGGTGATCCTCGTCCTGGCTCGCCAAGGGAAAGCTTGGGGTCTGTGTCCCGGACAGCGGACCAGCCCCGCCCGGACAAGGGCAAGGGAAAGTTGCACGAGGATGACGTGCGTCACCAGATCAACGCGGCTCATAACGAGCGCCTGGGAAACCAGCCGGGCGCCGCCGCGGCCGACAGGGACCCCCGGGACGAGGTCATCGCCCAGCTGGAAAGGAGGCTGGCTCAGATGGAGGTTAAGCAGTCGGCCAACATCCCTACGGCCGGCGCCTCCAACGACCCCGGCCTCAACGCGCTCATGAACAAAGTTAGCGCCCTGGAGAGGGAGCTGGCCGAAGGGCGAGGTGACCCCATCATCCAGGTCAGGACCAGGACCCCTTTCACTAACAGGATCCTCTCGGCCCCCATCCCGGAGAAGTACAGGGGGAACGCCATCAAGTCCTACGATGGCCGATCAGACCCCCAGGAGCACTTCAGCCGTTACCAGAACAACATGCTGATGGTGAACGCGTCCGACGAATACCTCTGTCGTTGGTTCCTCTCTACTCTCGAGGGGCCAGCGTACGAGTGGTTCAACGGGCTCCCCGAAGGGAGCATCGACTCATGGAAGGATCTCGCCCAGTGCTTCCTCACTCACTTTGCCGGGAGGAAGCGCGCGAAGAAGTACTTCACCCACCTCCTTTCCGTCAAGCAGCAGCACGAGGAGTCCCTCCGGTCTTTCATTGATCGGTGGACGAGGGAAACCGAGGAGGTCGAGGGGGCCGATGAGCGCACCCTCCTCGCCTTGTATCAGGGAGCCCTCCGCAGCTCCCCGTACGCTAGGAGCCTCATCACCGACCCCCCGAGGTCGTACGCCAAGGCGCTCCAGCGCGGAGGCTTGTACGCCGACGCCGATGAGCTCCATAATCACAAGAAAGAGGGGGGCCATACCTCCAAGAAGACAAATCCTTCGCCGGCCCCGGGCCCGTCCCCGGCCGGCCAGGGTGCCCAGGGCCGTCACGGCTCTGGTGGACAGAGTAAGAAAGACCGCCACTGGCGGCCGAGGTTGGAACGGCCGGGGGTAACCCTCACCCACCCGGTCGGCACCATCCTCGATTATGCCGAGAAGCACGGCCTCATCGAGCAGGCTCCTCGGCCGGCCGAGGAGATCCTTGCCATCCAGCAGGGCGGCACGTACTGCCGGTTCCACAAGAACTCGTCGCACAACACCGACGATTGCATCACACTGAAGAAGGCCATCGAGCGCCTTATTCGCCAGGGGGAACTCTCCCAGTTTGTCAAAGGTGGCCCACGCAAGAACACTTGGGTAAACACCGGCAAACATGGGGGCGAACCCTCTGCGAAGAAGCGGGAGATTGGTAGGCTCAGCGACGACGAGGACTTCGAAGAGCCTCACCGAAGAAGAATCACATCCAACTCATCGTAGGTGGGAACACTGGGGGGGACTCCGCCACTCAGAGAAAGAAATGGGCCCAATCCCTTTACATTGGGGAGGTATCCCACGTTCCCCCCCAGCCGAAGAGGCAGCGAACGGAGGCGATCACCTTCACCGACAAGGATCTGCCTCCGGGTACGGAATCACACAGGGACGCCCTCGTCATCCGATGTGAGATCGGTGACTCCATCATCCACCGTACTTACATCGATACGGGGAGCTCCGTCAACGTGATGTACCTGGACACCTTCAAGCAGCTGAAGCTGGACAGAGCTCTGCTGAAGCCGATCAAGACCCCGTTATCCGGCTTCACTGGGGACTCTATCGACGCCGAGGGCACGGAAGTCCTCCCCGTGGAGGTCGGTGACGGCCCCCACCACGCCAAAATTAACATGGAGTTTATGGTGGTCAACCTCCAGTGCGCCCACAACCTGATCTTGGGCCGGCCAGCGCTGGAGGACTTGGAGGTCATCATCTCCATGAAGCACTTATGCCTGAAGTTCCCCGCCAACAATGGCATCGGCTACGCCAGAGGAAACCAGAGGATAGCCAGGGACTGCTACCTCAAACTGACGAGGCCGGCCGAGAGGGAGGGCCAGAGGATAGACACCATCACGGCCGCCGTCGCCATGGACGAGGAAAGGCCACATGCTGAGCCGGCCGAGGAGGTCGAGGAAATCCCTCTGGATACCTCCCGGCCGGAGCGGGTTCTCAGGGTCGGAAAGCAACTCCCCCAGGACCAACGAGACGCCATCCTCCTCGTCCTGCGGTCATACGCCGTTGTCTTCGCGTGGGGTCCGGACGATATGTCGGGCATCAGCCGCCAGGTGATCACTCACCGGCTGACCGTCGATCCGGCCTCCGCGCCCGTCAAGCAGAGGCGGCGCTACTTGTCCGCCGATAGGCGGGACTTCGTCAAAGGGGAGGTCGCCATGCTCCTCTCAATCAAACACATCAAAGAGGTGAAGTACCCGACATGGTTGGCCAACGTTGTCCTCGCCCAGAAACCGCCGACGTTCAGAATGTGTGTTGATTACACTGACCTGAACAAGGCATGCCCCATGGACCCGTTCCCTCTCCCCAACATTGATCAGCTGGTGGACGAGACGGCAGGGTGCGAGTTAATGTCGTTCCTCGACGCTTTCAGAGGGTACCACCAGATCTCCATGCATGAAGATGACGCCGAGAAGACGGCATTCATGACCCCAGAGGGAATCTTTTGCTACCTCGTCATGGCCTTCGGACTCAAAAACTCCGGCACCACCTATACTAGGATGGTGGCCAAGATCTTCAGAGCGGTCCTTGGCCGGACGATGGAGGCGTACGTCGACGACATGATCGTCAAGAGCAGGCAGGCCACCTCCCACGCCGACGACCTCCGGGAAATCTTTGAAATAATGAAGGAGTTCAGGCTCCGCCTTAACCCCAAGAAGTGCGCCTTCGGCGTCCAGGGCGGCAAGTTCCTTGGCTACATGGTCAGCCGGAGAGGCATCGAGATAAACCCGGAGAAGACGCAGACTATCATCAACATGGAGCCGCCCCGCAACGTCAAGGAGGTACAGCGACTGACGGGGCGTCTGGCGGCCTTAAACCGGTTCCTCTCCAGGTCGGCCGAGAGGGCGCTCCCTTTCTTTCAGATCATGCGGAAAGCCAACAGCTTCAAGTGGACGACGGAGTGCCAGGAGGCATTCGACGAATTGAAAAGGTACCTGTCGTCCCCACCCGTGCTCTCCAACCCCAGAGCCGACGAAACCTTCTTCTTATACTTGGGGGTGAGCACGTCGGCCATCAGCTCCGTGCTCATCCGTGAGGACGAAGGGGTGCAGAAGGCCATCTTCTACATCAGC